TTCACCGGATATTGCATCCTTAATCAGCAATTCAATAGTATCTGACAGGTTTTGGAGCCTAAAGATATTGGGCCCGGTCTCCGACTGATCACAAGCGTTCGACACAACCAACTATCCATCGCCTTTCGAAATGATATCGGGTTTTTTTGTTGTTGATGAAATCCAACTGAAGACCAACTTAATCCGCAAGAAACTAATTATTAGACAAATAAAACAGTAATGATGAAGTTATCCATTCTTTTTATTTTAATTTGTGAAAGACGGTGGGATGGCTGCCGACAAAACATTTTAATCCATTTAACTTGATTTCTGTTAATTCCAGGGTATAGATGGAAATGGATATTTATATGCATTTAATTAATGTCTATATTTTATCTCCTTGTTTCACATTTTCAATCGAGCGACTTGTTGTAGTAAGGTCTGGCCTGGTAGATATTAATAATCCAGGGTGGTCATAAAAGATAATGGTGAATGGTAGATGCATGCATGCATGCATGTATGTATGTGTACGTGAGTATTTCTACTGATTTTGAAATGTAGACTAGTCACGGAAGTAGCTAGTGTCACAGGTAGTTACTGTAATGCTAACAAGGATACTTGTATATTACATATATATATACATATATATATTGTTAATTAGTTAAGTAATGCTTCTATCCTGCCATAGTTAACAGATAAAATTCTAATTACCAAGGTGCACTCACTTGTAAACTTTTCATTTCGTAGGGATTCTGAGTAATTTCAGTAGAATCTGTAACATATACCTCAATCTTCACAAAACCTAAATAAATTCCCAACTCATTAATGCTTATAAGATAGATGTCTTGGAGTTCTAACAAGACGTTGTGATTGGTAAGTGCATGGTTATCGAAGGTGTTGATTGGCGGTGACGTTAGTTCACGAATGGACAGAAATTGAAGTTCTCGGGTCATTAAGGTCAGACCCGATAGCTGAATGATAGCTCACCTAGTGACTTGAGGGTCGTGGGTGAGCATCTGTGAAGAGTAACACACAAAAAGGGAAGAAATGTTCACAGCTCCTTGGTTTTCAATAGTTATTTACTCTCAGGCTTTCCAGTGGTTCTCTAACTAATGTCAGTTCATGATGAAATCCTCCATGCAATCAAACACAATCCCTACAAAACCAATACTTGAGAAATTCTATCTTATCAACTTTTTCACCATGTTACATATTGTTCTAATTGCCTACTAATCCTACTGCCAATAACAACCAGCACCAATCATCATCACTTATCCAGTTAGGAAGCACAGTTTCAACGGATGAAGATGTCAAAGCTGGCCATCCAGTCTGAATTGGAAAGTCAAGATATACCTTCATCAACCTGAAACCAGTTTGGAAAACTTCTGCACTCACTCAGCCAGCGTAAAGAATAAGATTCGGATTCTATTCAACACAAACGGAAAGTTAATCCGTCACTTCTTTTATACGGGTCAGAAACTTGCACTGCGTGCCACGAAGAGGATTTCCAACAGGCTATTGCAGACTTTCATCAACAGCTGCCTTCTCTGGCTCCATACTGAAGATCAAATGGCCAGAAAGAATTCGTAACAAGAACCTCTGGGAACGAACCAACCAAGAACCGATCGCTCAACAAGTATGTGGAAGAAAATGGAGATGGATCGATCCGGCATGGGTTGAGGAAGCCATGGAATGACATCGTGCTCAATGCAGTTCATAGTAAGAGTGGAATCCGAATGGGAAGCAACAAGGCCGTGATAAGTACGAGAGTGACATGGAGGAGATCGTGGAGAAGAAGAGGAGATGAGAGATTATTGGCAATCGTGAATCCAGCTGAAGAGAACAGCAAGAAATATAACAAAGTGGAAATGTCTTGTTGAAGCTCTATGTTCCACTCGGAACTCAAGGTAATAATAATAGATATACTAGTCCTATCAACCCTATTAATTTTTGAATTCTTTCCAAGATCTATACATGCTATGAACTATAGCCTATTTAAGATATCTTTTATTTTTTCACTTTATATTTAACCATGTTAGGTAGTTGTCTGGGTTTCTAGTGAGAAGTCATGACCAGGGCAAGATACAGCAGGTCGGGTGTGAGAACAAATACTCGAAAGAGATGAAATTAACTAGTGGTCGCGTTATTTCGTGATTTGGCAAAAGTTGGATATCATGGGCTGGTCACTGGATCGTGTCACAGTGGCTTAATGGTCTTGGAGCTAGCTTGACTTCTAACTAGAAGGTCCTGTGTTCGAACCTCACTGGGTGCTTACTTCTGAAGAGTCCCAAACTGGGACGGGACAGCTGGATATTCAATAATTTCAGGTTTACCAATGGTTCTGTAACCGACGTCAGCTTATGATAAAGTCGTTTAACAAATCAATCAAATCCCTACAAACCAATACAAAGTCGTTATCATGAACATTTCAATCGTATTAATTATTTTAAGTTATCGCACTTTTGTTTAAATTTCCTCGTATATATATATATATATGTAAGCTTGATAAGTGGTCGACATTAACACTTAATAAAGGATTATACAATCGACTAAATTTAGAAACAGAGAGAAACGTGCTACAGCTTCTGATAGTGACAAGCTGTGCAAATTTCTGGAGGTTTCAGATCGTCATAAAAGAATTCAAGATATCTACCTGATATCCTGTGTTAATCAGACACCGTGTGACTGCATCGTTCTTCATCGTAGATTGCTTGCACCGAGGTTGATGCTTAAGAGGTCGTCTCGAAGGACACTGAAACCTCTGCAATTTAATCACCACTCAGCTCAGAGAATATAACAAAAGTAGAAATATCTACCTGAGGTTCAAATCTCCCCCATTATATCGATATCAGGCGTCCTTTGACCATAACCAGATGATCTATACCTCTCTATACGTCTCAGACTAAAAAGCAGTGACTTAGCAGATTGGTGCTATGTTTTCGAATGACCAACTGTAAGGTTTTCTATGACTCAATCTGGTAGTAGCGAACGTTACTCACAGAGGAAGGCAGTAACTCTACATATGTAACAGTCAGCTAGTATTCAGTCGTCTACTTAACACTGATGTCATGAGATATGGTGTCTTCCAGTTATAGCCAGTTATACGCTAATCGAATATAGATCAACCACCCACTTGTCACAGTCTTTATTCGTATCAGTTATTTCATCCTCCAAGTAATTAACCCAATCAGGATGGTATTTTTTGCATCAGTGTTTCAATGTTAGATTCCTTGTCAGCTAAGTGACATGTACAAGTGTGGTTCACGGCCAACGCACTCATAAATCACACTTAATTTACAAAGCGGGAGTTATTTGGGAGAGGAGGGAAGGTTAAAAACACCACCGCTATACTGTAACTTCAAATCTGATGGAGGCCAGAACTCAAAGAATGACAAAAACAAATGTGAATAGTTTGTACAGTCGACAAATGAATCAACGAAATCAAGCGATGATATCAATGAATAAGAACAGATACGTCATAAAATGTTAGTAGTTAATCCTTATAGAGGATTTAACTGGTGGATGGTGACGCGCATTTCGTCCTACTTGGGGCTCGTCTGCCAACTGGATGTACCTGCATTCTCCAGTGAGTGATGATGTTCCCAGCAGCGAGGCTCGAACCCAATGCCGATAGTTTCAAACGCCAAAGCGTTATCCACTAGATCACTTGGGCCACAAGAGCCAGCCACCTCTTATTAATCGGTGGGAACATCATCACTCACTGGGGAATGCAGGTACATCCACCTGACGAGTCCCGAACAGGACGAAATGCGCGTTATCCTGGATTGTTCCACTGCTAGTCACCATCCACCAGTGAAATTCTAACTACATGTCCAGACATCGTCGGAGCATCTGCACAAGAAGCCAACAGACGTGTCAACCTGAGACCGAGCACTTCGGTGCGATCAATCGACGGGAAAAAATCTAAAATTCACTTAGAGAGGATTATTTTTTAAGAAATCTTTTTTGTTGTTGGTGAAAGCGAAGGCATAACAGTATACAGCCAATTAATACTAACTAGACTTTATATAAAACTGATGGAAAAAAACAAACAACAATAGTCGAATTCAAGTTAGTTAGTTAGTTAGTTACGGACAGACTCGATTAGTTTTATGCTTCGGACAAATAGAGTAGAATAGAGATATAGACATATGAACGCGTGTGTAATGTATACGTGTATATAGCATAGCATATTAAGCATCACACGATATGGTTTTACACAAACATTCTGTCTCTCTGTAGAGCTAGCTAGCTTGAACAGCAAGACACACACACACGCACACTCACACACTCACACAAAAGAATAGACAAACAAACCTACAGGGTATCACTATAAATACATGTACTAACTTGGATTGAAAAGTGGAGGCAGTCAAGCCACCTCATCACCACCGCCATAATCATCAACATCAACAACATCAACATCATCAACAGTGTAATAATCAGCGTATCTTATGCAATAAATGTTATTACATGATCACAGCAACAACAACAACAACAACAGCAACACATATGCATATATCTGGAAAATAATTAGTACAATTTTTAAAAGTTAATAAATACACTAGTTATATATTTTTGCAAGGGATTTGTAATTAATTGTATCTGCAAGGCTAATTTCTGAAGCATAATTAGTAATAATTCAATCAAAATCTATTGACATCAGAATTACCGCCATTTTCTCTTTGCATTTTGTTTTAATCGAGACATTGAAAACATTGAACATTGAACATATTTGATTCTAATTCGTACAAAATAGCGCTTTCATAGAAGAAATTACATTTAAACAAAAACAAAAAAAGAAAAAATTAGTCTGTGGCATAAAATTCTAAAAAAATGATTCACAAATTCATGAAAATATTCAATGAAATTTACAGATTACTTGATTTCATGATTATCACTTTATATATGGATAATGCAACTTATATGATACAGTATTGTTATTCATTGATGATGCAAGAATTGATGAACTCACTTATTGAGGAGGAATATGTTATTAAACAGCAGATATTGTGTAACACATGTGTCAGAAGTATTCACTTATCAAGTTGAACTGTTTAAATTGGATACAATTGAAGAGAATTCAATACTTTAAAATTGATAGTAATAACAAGGGTAGCAGTAATTATAATTATCAAATCTCAGAATCAAAGCAGAAACTGTCAGCTATTGAAACCAGAAGAATAATATCATCAACGCTAACATCATATGAAAATAAAAGTAATCGTGAAAAATGTTGTTATACAACCACAACCACAACAACAAATGCCAAATTTATGTATCAACAATATTATTATTATTACTTTTACAAAAAAACCAACTTTGTCATTAAGTTCTTTTCTAGTTTTTTTATAATAATGATGTTATTTTGTACAGTAAATTCATCCTCATCCTCATTGGCATCGGCATCGGCATCCCTATCCTCCGCCCTATCATCACCAGTATCATCTAACTCCTCCTCATCAGCTTTATCATTAAGTGTATCTCCTGGCATATCACCTAAACGCGTGGTACGTGCACCGATTACTAGTAGACATCAGTCAATCAATCCAAGATTGTTACGTGAAATTGGTGAAGGGACATTACGTATTGGTGGTGTTTTAACTCAACTACTCGATGCTATTGAATTCTCAGTTGTCCAGGAAAGAACAGATCCTTATTTAAAGTGAGTGATTGGTTGTAGTATTTACACTAAGTGTTGATTGTTTTCGGTTTCACTTAATAACAATATTGATAATAATTTCAAATGTTGGATTTGTGAAAGGAATTGATCGAGTGTGTGTTACAGAATTGTTAAAACTTAGAGAGTATAGGTCGGCTCCTAGGCTGTGAAAAAACCCACAGGTTCCCTAGAGGCAGAATAAATGGAAGTTGTATGAAGTGACGAATATCTTACTACTCAGCCTGGCGGAAGCTCCTAATCGTAACTATCTTCAAAACCAGTTTCTAGTTCTACCTACAAATCGTAATTGACGAAGTCCAAAAAATCATTTGTCCGAACGTCTGCTCAACAATAATATTTTGATTGTGAAAGATCATATTCCAAAATGTCGGTGGCATAGCGGTTAGGACGCTCGCCGACCATGCACATGGTCCGGGGTTCAATCCCCGGCTACTGGACGCACTCCTTTACCTCTCTAAGCCAGAAATAATGCAGGTGAAGAGGAAAGGTTGGGCATGAGGCTGGCAACCACATTCTGTAAAATAAAGACGGCTCCAGAAACTTCAAGCTACTAGCTTGAAGCCCTATGTTCCACTGGGGAACGTGAAGGAAAAAAAGTATTCCAAACTGACAGAAGTTGGAAACTCACTCGACTGTAAAGCGTTATCCGCGTAACTTGACGTTTCCTGTTTAGATTATCCACAATGTTTTGCTGGTGCAGCGTAGTACAGCTTGGTTCATTATATTGATTTTCTTTAGTCACTTGAACTGGCTTTAGTTTGTGATACTGAGTTAAATTGTAGTAATAACTTCTCGGTGCATCGGTGGCACAGCGGTAGAATGCTCGCCAACCACACCTCATGTGGTTCGGGGTTCGATCCCCAGCCACGGACGCACTCCTTTACCTCGCTAAGGACTGGTAAAGAGGGATGGTTAGACGTGAGGTGGATAGCAACCCTATCCCGTAAAAATAAGTACCACTGCAACCGAAAATTCAAAGCTCTAGCCAGCAGCCGTATGTTTGACTTGGAACGTGAAGGAATAAAAAACATTTTTTTAAATATCTCGAAATGACGGAGTTATTCTCTGAAGAACTGTGGAATGTGGAATACCACAAATGGACTATGTGATGGTGTAACGATGTAAGAGGCGGGAGGAGGCTGATAGACAAAAAAATCTGTTTTTTTCCACCAATTTCCATGGTTATAAATCTAGTTAATCTTGGCATACAGTGACCAGCAAGGGCAAATCAAAATTATATCCGAAACTTTGTTTCGTGTGGTACAAAATGGAATAATAATTATAATCGTGAGTTTTGATTGTCATTCAATCTCATAAAAAATGTATATTCAATAAAAACATGAGATAATGTGGGATTATTTCGTCTTCATCTATTACATTCTGAGTGAAATATAGGACTTGAAGCATTGAAGGACCAGCGGCTGTGGTATTTCCTTTACAAGATGGATTTGCCGGACATTGCTCCAAACATCCCTTCCTTCCTTCCTTTTCTGGCTTACTACCAGCCAGTATACTTTGGCGAGGATTAAGAGTGCATCAGCGGAGGGGGGGAGTCGAACTCAGACCAGTGTTTACAACTGTAGAGCTTGAAGATAAAAGCATTAGAAATAACTATTTCCTCTAACTTTCTTGCTGTGAATAAATTATGGAGGTATTTAAGACTTACCACATTATATTAATAAATGTTCAGCTACCATCGGTAACTTATCTTCATTGCAAGTTTACTGTAATTCGAAATTATTAGTAATGTACAGTTTGGTGTCAATCGTTAGATATCATTCACAATAAGTTTCTGCCTGTCTGAAACATCCCACATTTGTTTGAACCTACCATGAGGAGTTTCTGGGTAATGGCTTACTGTAAACTCACAAGAGGATATATGCTAACCAGTCGCACTGTTTGTATTCTTGAGTATGGTGATCGATGTCTCCTGGTGGATTACGTAACCCAGTCATTAGACAAAGTGGTGGGACACTTTTGTTACAGTTTTATGTACAACTAGTTGTAGACATAAGCCGCTTTATGATTCCACCATCCATTTACTATAAAGTTTAGATGTTAACTGTTTCTTTATAGAAAGTCCTAAACCCTTCAGATGTCAAAATGTATGCTAGCAAATTTGAACGCCACAGGAGTTCAAGCTCGTCTTAAACGTATTAATTAATACGTGACCAGAAAATATGTTTTAGTCAGTTGATTTTATCTGCCAGTAAAATCCAAGACATATGCTCCATCCCATTTGTGCTTCCTCAGCTGGATGAATCTGCCAGCCCAGTGAGTAATGGTATTCTCACGGAGACTTGAACCCTAAATACCCATCGTCTTGAACGCTGGGCCACGATAGCGGCCTGTTGTGTAACTGGTAAAATTCGAAATTATTCCCCAATGAGATTTCTGGACGGGAATGATCAGCATCACCTCAGAACATGGTCTGCTTCAACGGACGACTGAGTGCTATTGTCACTCACAGAGGAACATGTTCAGACAAATAATTTCAAATTTTATATGACTAAAGTGCCCACTGGAAATTTCGAAAGATTTTTTACTGAACAATAATTACAGAACTATTTTTACTGATATCTATAGTTTTGTTTATGAGTTCGACCACGGATTGGTCAAACTAACTCTTGGAAATTAATCTGATGTTCGTTAGTGACTTTCTACAGGATGGAGTTTCCTGGAGTGAGTTCTAGTGAGAAGTTGTGACTGGTGAGGTCCATCAGGTCAAGTGTGAGGATGGATTTCTCACAGATGAAACTGGTTGGTGGTCGCGCTAAGAATCACGATTCGGTAGAAGTTAGTATTCATGGGCTGATCATTGAATTGGGTCTCAGTGGCTGAATGGTATACCAGCCAGCTTTCCTTGCAACTGGAAGATCCTAGGTTCGAAACCTGGCAGTGCGTGCGTACTGCCGATGATTTCCAAACTAGGCTGATGTAACAGCTGTCCAGTACCCCTTGCTGGTTTTCAATGGTTCTCTAACTGATATAAATCCGTGGTCAACTCGTAAAAACAAATCTAATCCTTACAAACCAACTCTTGAAAGGTAACATTAATGTTCTTTTTAAATAATATTGAATCACTGACATCAAAACTTCAAGGGACATATGGAGATAGACTGTTAACAAATTACAGGTCAAAGCATGTGTATGTAGTGTACTTTCCATTCTCCTAAGTTTTTGTTTTGACGAGTACACATACACAGTGGCTCTAGCGCCATTTTGGTCTTTTCCACTGTGGTGTCAAAGCTTACATTCTTCCAGTTCGTAATGCTGTCATATTTGTTAGATGAGTTCTGTGCGTCGATGGCACAGTGATTATGACGCTCGCCAACTATGCACATGACCCGAGGTTCGATCACCAGCCAACGCACAGTTGATATTAATCGTCGGCCTGCTAAATTTGAGCTACCAATATTACAAGCTGAATATTCCATACTTGTACCAAAAATACAATGTGGAATCAAGCTGTTATAAAATAATAAAAAAATAAATCAGCTTGTCTGAATGATCTTCGCATTTCATGTTTTACTCAGATATACTACTCATTTGTGCATATTTTCAATTAACTGGCTCTTCGTAATTTGCGTTTTGTCGTCGGTATGCACAAGTTAGGTAGAGTACTTATTTATTGCGTAATTAGGTGAACTACATTTAATAAGGACTGGTACAGTGTAACTTACCAACATCATTACCAGTATCTGACAGCCGTTGAACCCGAATCTCATTATTTGCCACATCTTAAGCTCAGTTCATCCTTAGTTGTTTCGCTATTTTCAGGGATTGCTTTGTTTTGAATTTTCACATTACAGATTACTTTTATTTTTACTTGCGTTTTCATGCTAATTCACAGTGCTGATATACCATTATTATTATTATTACATAACTTATCTAACCATGGAGAGTCGGCTGCACAGAGGTAGAATGCTCGCTAACCACGCCTCATGTGGTTTCGAGTTCGATCCTTAGCCACCGACGCGCTCCTAAACCTCTCTAAGCCAGTAATAAGTCTGGTAAAGAAGAAAAGTTGGGCATGACGCTGGCAACCAGATGCCGTAAACATAAATACCATTGCTGCCGGAATTTTAAAGCTGTAGCTAGTAGCCGTATGTTCCACTGGGAATGCATGCGTGTAAACGACTGTGCTGCTCAGAAATCAGTTAATGTGCAACTCCCTACCTTCTGGGTGAATCGACCATCTTCTTGGTACTCACATATTGAAGCTCAGTTCACTTTGCGGCGGATTCATATGTATGTGATAATGTGCATTAATGTGACGCTAGACTGAACACCAGTATTCGGAAGCAAATAATCATGAATAACAACGAATATGGTGTAATTAATGCTCATCAGTAGTGTTCATACTGAACTCTGTCTATGTAGATTATAAACTTCATGTTGATGCACTTTCTTTTTATTCATTTAGGTTCCCACTGTAACATGTAGCTTCAAGCTACAGGCTTGAAGTTTCGGTAGCAGTGATACTTAATTTTACGGGATGTGTTTGCCAGCCTCATGACCAACATTACTTCTCTACTGGTCTTATTACTAGCTCAGTGAGGTGAAGGAGTGCGTCTGTGGTTGAGGATTGAACCCCGAACCACATGAGGTGTAGTTGGCAAGCATTCTACTGCTGTGCCACCTATGCATGATAGAATCAAAAATAGAGAGATAAAACTGATTGTAAGGTTATATATATTTAAAAGTGTGCCAGTGTGCAGGTGAGTGACCACGTTTAAATCAGATAACAAAAGGGTTGCTTCCCTGTAGATGTTCGAACCGCATTGCTTAACGAAACGTTGGAATTATCTATTTCAATTGCGCTGGGATTTACTCAAGTCTACTTTTTTACCTAGGAAACAAAAGGTTTGTTTATGCAAATGCAGTAATAAAGGGTAGGAGAATTTATAGGATGGATGGTCACACTTAAAAGGGTGACGTGTTGCAGTATTTATGAATTTACAGATTTCAAAGTGGGCCAG